TTTTCATCACCACTATTTTGTACATAGAACACCGTTTTGGAGAAGCAGGTATGAGATGCGTTTGCTTTCAGTTTTTGTGGAAATCACTTTATCCACAAGTTAATCACTCCCAAACACTCTTTATTTCCTTTCTCTCAAGCCAATTCTAGACTATTTGGAAGATTCCAAGCATTTACACCTGTCTTCTAAAATTTATTTTAGGTTGTATCTTTTCGTCCCAAAAAGAGTTGTCTGATGTTGTTTACAAGGTTTCGTTTAAGTTAATTCAAATCAATCTATTTAAAAATTGGTAACTGGTAATGAGTTAAAAAATATAATTTATATATTTAAAAGCTACATCAAAAGTTTTTCAAATGAGTTCCAAAAATAGGTCAAGAACGTGGTATAAGTTTGACATGTGAATATTAAACAAACCATTTAAACTGGGACGCACGGAATATATTTATTGTCTTGAAATTTTTGCACTTAGTTTCAAATAGGAACATACATGCAAAATCTTGACAACTTTTGGTTGATTCGACAAATTTGCCAAAAACATGGCAATGCAGTACCCCTAAGAGCTTGAGACCAAGCTTGGAAAAAAAGTTAAAGGTGCATAAATGAGTATGTTGAACAAAAAAAAAAGTTACATATGTTTTTTCTATGTGTAAATTTAAATAGACATGTACACCATATTTACTCTCACATAGGAGCAGGAAATTAACAAAGCACTCTCATTTTGGAATGTTGGGATGATAATTTCTACCCAATATGGATTATAATAGATGATGGATGAATCGGTGATATATCAAGTCGGACACGGGTGGATTTTTATTACCCGTCAACTGATGTATCCATATCTAATTTCAAAATAATATAGGAGTATATCTATCATTTTCTAGTATTCTTTTCCCTTGACATTTTGCCTCTTCAACGGTTCAAATAAACCTCTTCTTTTCTCTTCAATTACAACAATAAGGGTCCGTTTAGTACACGGAATTGATGGAATTGAAATTGAATTGGAATTAAAATTCCATGAGATTCAATTCCATAGAATTGAATTTACCAGTTCCAATTCATTTTTTGCACTACTAATTTCAAATCCACATAATTTCTGTACTACCAAACACGAGAATTGGAATTGAAGTCCTTGTACCAAACGGGGCCTAATATTTTTTTCCTTTGCTGATTATGACTTACCTTTGTATAATTGCACTCCTATTTAACTAGTAGCCAATTGCATCTTTTAGCAAATTAATTTTGACGATGTTAGGTGATTATCTTGGCATCTTCTACAATGAGCAAGGTTTTGGGGAGTTTTTTTCTATTTGTTTATTTTTTATACAAAGTCGGTTGCTATGGGTCATGTATTTGAGTTTTGTATCCGGTTTTGAGACTTAAAAAATATTCTTTTGAATTATATCTTTAATATCATCAATCATTTATTATTGATCTTAAGGTGTATTTAATATTGTGTGCTTGATACCGTCTATTTTCAATTATGTGATTCTTGAAATTAATATCATTTGTTTCACTTCACCCGCGGGTAATAGGTGCATCGGGCGATAAGTGAAATATGAAACAGATGATTGGTAAATCGGGTAATTGGCACGAAAATATATGATAGTATATTATGCATATTTTGTTACATACAGAGTACTATTTTTTGTTCGTAAATACTTCTTTTATTGCTTCTCTGTCCTAAATTTAATTACCTATTGTTGTTTATGATGTTTGAACAAAATTATTTTTAATTCATATAATTTGAAAGTTAGTGTAAAATTTTAAAATAAAAGTTAATAAGTTATAGTAAATATACAACATAAATTGGGATAGATTGAGGATAAATAAATTGTACATAAATTTAAAATAAACATAAAAAATAAAATGTGAGAATTGTGAGTGGAATCCTTCCTCGATCGTTCTGACCGGTTCCCGTATTGTTTTTTTGTTCAATTTCAGAACCGGAATTTTATTTAGGCATCCTCACACGATTTTTTTAAAGTTATACTCCGTATGTGACAAATTTTTGCTTGTGATGTGAACTAATTTGAAATGGAATTGATATGGACAATAGTTTCTTTTTTTTTCTTTGGTTGGAAGGAAAAAAAAGTATTGTGAGAAGAAAAAAAATAAATTAAGAAAAAAAGAAAACAATTTTGGTCATATTTTGGTGAGAAGGAGGAGAGAATTATTTTTGTTTTCTTTCATTTTGAATTCTTCAAATCAAACATAACTTAACACTATGTTTGATTCAAAGAGATTGAAAAGAGAAGGAAAAGAAAATAATATGGGAAATGGTTTTTCCCATGAGAGGAAAAAAACAACTTAAGAAAAAAGAAACAAAAATGCTAGGGGTACACTAAAAGTGTATCCCAAATGTATACCACCCTCTCATTTCTACATTTTGGCAAGTAAAATAAAAAAGAAATAAATAAATAAAAATGAGTGGTAATGAAGAGGGTAGTGTACATTTGGGGTACACTTTTGGTGAAAAAACAAATTTCTTTATATTTTGGTGAGAGAGAGTTTTCCTTTTTCTTTCATTTGTATTTCATTTTCTTGCATACAAGATATTACTCACTATTTTCTTTTATTATCTCTCCTTTCGTGGAAAGAAGTTTTTCGAAGTCGAATTTGATTGAGTCGTATTTACAGTCAAGTATCCGTAGGAGAGGCTCGATGAATTGGATTAGATATCATTTGAATCTGAAACTCTTGCCGAGATTGAGATTGATAATTAAGTATCTAAGTGTGCAAGGCGAATGTGTTTTCCTCAGGTTGAAACCCAAGAAATGGGTCACAAGAAGAAGGCGGGTGCATTGTTTGTGAAGCTGGTTTCAACAGCGGGAACAGGATTCTTCTACGTGGTGAAGAAGACAAAGAGGCTCCAAACTAGCCCGACCAAACTCGAGTTTCGCAAGTATGATCCCCGTGTTAATTATCATGTTCTCTTCAACGAACGGAGAACTTGGAGTTTCGAAAATGAAGTGATTTTCAAAAACGCCCAAAAAAAAAAACGAACGGGGAACATGGAGACGATGGTTACTGGTTTCTTTTGTATGTTTTGCAAAACAGTTCTGCGCAATTTATTTGTTTTATTTGTGCAAATGGCGTTTTTCGTTCAAAACGCAGCTTATTCTAAAGAATCTAAACACTTGGCTTATTAAGGTGGTTAGGAGTGTGCACCGGTCCAAAACCGGACCGGACCGGACCGGAACCGGTTAGGACCGGAACCGGAATTGCAATTTCTTTAGGACCGAAGACCGGACCTGTTTATTTCCGGTCCAGACCTGTTTTTTCCGGTCCGCTCTGGTTTTACCCTACTTTAGACCGGAATTTTTTTATATATATTTTTGCAATCTTATAAATGAATTAAATTATTAAATAAATTTAGAAAAAAATTGAAATAATAAGTTGTTTTTGTTCAAAGTATTTAATAAAAATAGTACTTATAAGTAGTAGCAACAAATTCATCAAAACTCATTTTATAACTTATTCAAATTTATAAACTACCGTAAAAATAATAATCTAAAATAAAATATCTAAAAACTAAATATTGGAAAATTGAAATTCATGAATCTAAAACTATATGGACTGGATCTAATGCTTTTGGGCTTGAAATTAATATATTCCGGTCTGGACCGGAAAATTCCGGGTCAAACCCGGACCGGACCGGAAACCCGGAATCCCTAATTTGTAAAACCCGAGGACCGGACATGAATCTTCTGGACCGGTCCGGACCGGTCCATTCCGGTCCGGTTCAGGTCCAAAATCCGGTCCAGACCTGTTTTTGAACACCCCTAAAGGTGGTTGGCTTATTAAGGTGGTTTACTGGTTCCCATGGGAGAGTAGATGATCTTTAAGGAGACAAGTTATGGTGACACTTTTTTTAATACCAAATTGAGATCATATAATAATGTTTGTAGTTAATGGTTTTGTTTTAGGTAATATGTAAGAGTAATGCTTACATGGTCCTAAATTTCATATTTAAAATATCAATCTTCTCGCATGTTTCATGAACCTATATATGGATATTTTCTCCTTTGCTAAAAGTCTAATTCTTTTATATTACAAATACACAAAGATCTACTCCCTTCGGTACTAAAAATATGAGAGTTACTCCCTCCGTCCGGAAATATTCTTCTCATTTTCCTTTTTGGTCCGTCCGGAAATATTCTTCCCATTTCCTTTTTTAATATACTTTTTAAGGCTAAATATCAATAATACACTTCTATTTTATCACAAATATATTTTTTTAGTACTTTTTTAATAATAAAAGGAAATTTAAAAGTTTATAGTATGTGCATTTTTGAAAATTTTGCATTTTTTTTACTATTCCTTAATAAGCGTACCAAGTCAACACGGGAAAAATATTTCCGGACGGAGGGAGTATTAATTTTTAAGAAATTTAAGAGAAATGTATTTTGGTATTAAATTTCTAAAAAACTATTGATTTGATGGATAAAAATATGATTTGATTGATAGATTATTAGTAAAAAGATATGATGTGATAGGTAAAGTATGAAAAAATAAAGGGTAAAATTAACTTTTTAATATAAATAAAAAATATTTTTTGAGACAGATGAAAAAAAGAAAAGAGAAATATTTTCAGGGACAAAAGAAGTATAAAATTAGCATGGATCTGAGGTCCATGGAAGAATCTGCCTAAAGTAGTTTTCGATTAATTTTAAAAATGTTAATGCTAAAAGTTTTGTTGGATCATATTTTTGAAACATTGAACTTAGATGTTAAAGTTTCACGCCCAATTTTTAGTCTTAATTAGGTAACTTTTTTAAGTTATACTACGTATTTGGTTAGAAAAATAACATAGTCCTATATAGGAAAGTGGACTAGTTCCAGGAATGCTATTTCATTTAGAAATAAAAAATACACGAGTGACAATTTTTTTCTTCTAATTAAATTTCAACTACCAAATTTTTACTTTTCTACATTTCTTAAATTTCATGAAGCCAAATATTTCATCGTGTCTCAGAAAACTACATTCACTTTCCTGAATAGGAATAATTTCACATTTATTATTTGAACCAAAAGCAAACTTTACATGAACACTAGACTAGCTTTGAAACTCAGATATGTTCAAATAAAATACATTGGAAAATGGAGTTGAATTTCTATGGATGTGAGAGAGACCTATAGTACACTCAGCTGAGATTCGCCATCAATATGATACAGAAGAAGAAATCGCCAAAGCTAAGTGAACAGAAACTTAAGCCGGTATGAAATGACTGTGATTATCGTATATGGAAAGAGCAAGGGGCTTCAAAGACCAAGCCAAAGTCCTACCTATCATACAGTCATTGTGGTTTTGAACAGTGGAAAAATTCAGAGTGATTCACTTCCATTTTCAACTTCTCTAATAGCTTGAGCAGCCTCCACATTTCCATTCTGAAATGAAAGAAACGATATAAGAAACAGGCAAGGAAATAACGGGAGGGTACCCAGAGCAACTCTTGACGAAAACACTACATTGGCTAATGGCTACCTCTTCGCTTCGGTGAAGGGATGAGCCATGCCCTAGCGGTGGTGGCAGCGGCGGCGGTGTCTTAGAAAGATCTCTCAGAGTTCCCTGCAGCAGTTAACACAGTGAGACAAACATGTGAGATATCGGATGGGCAGCAATGAGCAGAGATGGCATTATGGTTTGGTCGATGCTCCTGAATTGGGTAGCGCCAGAATAGTTTGGCTCATGGTTTTGAGCCACCCATGTTGGAAATATGGCATCCTTCACAACCTGATCTAATGGTCAAGCACCTGGACGGGTACCATCCAACCTTGGAGCATTGAAGTTCGATCCAATGTATTAGGGGGCATTTCGTACTATACAAAATGATATGTAAATTGTACAACACCTTGTATTAGACGGAGTATGATATACTTTATACAACAACAACAATAACAACATTACCCCAGTGCCTCAATGGCTCCCGCCCATTGCGGGGTAAGGGGGGGTCGGGTCTGACCCCTATCATTAAAACATAGAGCGGTTGTTTCCAGATTACCCATGATGAGCGTCGAAAGTTGCATCGACTAACTGCTACTTCACAATTGCGATAAGCACAAACAGTTTAAAGAGCCAATTTGCTTTATTCTATCAAACCCCAAAGCCAAAAAGTAGTGAATCTTTGGAAATTAACGAAAACAATTGATTTGCACACAATTTTAAAAAGATTACACACCTCATATGTAAAGTTTTAATGTGAAAATTAGTATTCTGCGGAATTAGTCAAATAAAAAGCAAACCAGTCAAAATCCTAAGTAACTTTTGACATTTAATCAAATAAAATGAGAAGAACTGATATGTTGGCCCTAAAATGATCAAAATTTTATAAGCCTCATATCAGTACACACTAATTTGGTGTCCAAGGATTATATATAAAAGCACATCAAAGATGAGATGGTATCAAAGAGGGTGGTGATCACCTTATTTGCCCACATTAGCCCACAGGCATTACAAAGGGTCCTGGGCCCTTCTGGTCCACGTCGCATCATTGGGGTTGATTTCTCACTGATACCACAGTGCCGGCAGCTGCCATGAGAGTACAAAAAAGATAATATTACTCTCCACCTACAACTTCTTTCCTTTTTCTTCATTAAGCAATTTCTGTGGTGGTGATACATAATGAATCTATCAATGCAAGTCATATGCTTGTTAGCTAGTCACACGAGATCTATAAATGGTTTATTAAAATTTACTCTATCCCAAAATAAACTTCCAGTTCCAAATTCTGGGAATACATTCCGAAAACTGATTTTGACACTATTGGAAAGAAATGATCAAGGTGCGACTCTTACGGATATGCCAAGAGACAATACCTATGAGATTAAAGATAAATATGCATGGCTACAAGGAGAGAAAGCTATTCCTAAATGGAGAGATTAAGCATGTTTCTAAATATTGACACCAACTGTCGTTTGTGTGTGCAGGACCCAGAAACTGATAACCCTCTTCTGAGGCAATGCGGATATGCTAAGAAAGCATGCAATGTTGTGTTTGAGAATTTCATCAGTGAAGAGGGAGATGAGATTATGCGGATTAAAAATAGGAAAGCTAGATTTATTATGCTTGCGGTTTGGGCAGCATGTAGCTACGGCATTTGGAGAGCTAGAAATGGGCATCTACATCAAAAGAAGTTCAAGGAAGAGGAGACAATTAATTATTTTTTGTTTTATAGCAAATGCTTTATACAATATAGAAGGATCTGATATCTACGTTGTATTTAACTTCGAAGTTGGTGAATAAAATTTGTGCTTTCGGTTAAAAAAAATTAGGAGCCAAGAACTTTAATGAAAAAAGTGGGGTAATTGCGTAAAGGGTAGAATTATTGAAAGAGAACTTGTCTTTCTTTAAAATGAGAAGTTGGCTTTGGGATGGAGAAACTAGATTTTAACTAGCTCTATGTTACTCTTCTAAAATCTGAAATATCATATGTTATCTTTCTAAGGTTTGAAACCTTGAATCTTATCTTAATTTGAATAAATAATCATCAAGTTTTAGTACACGACTTTTATTCCTAAATCAGGCTGAAATTTGCTTGAGTTTGGCTAATTGAGCATGGCCCTTTACTAAATCCAAACACATGCAAATTGTTAACCATCTAATTATTTCCTTGAATACGGTTTGACTCACACAAACCACCAGTAATAGTGCTATTCACCAAAAATAGAATGAATGCTAAAGAAACTGCAACTTCACCACTATGTGCAACTAGCATAAGAGGCATGTTGTACTTAATGCTTACAAAATCTCTTGATTTTGAATTTGAGATCCGCCTCCATTTGAAGCCCATCTCTGGGATGAGTCCCAATTAGAAGCTGTTGCTGACTCATCCTGATTGGGTTTTGATGATGTAAATTGCCCTTTGTTTCGTTGCATCCTACACGNAAGAAACTGCAACTTCACCACTATGTGCAACTAGCATAAGAGGCATGTTGTACTTAATGCTTACAAAATCTCTTGATTTTGAATTTGAGATCCGCCTCCATTTGAAGCCCATCTCTGGGATGAGTCCCAATTAGAAGCTGTTGCTGACTCATCCTGATTGGGTTTTGATGATGTAAATTGCCCTTTGTTTCGTTGCATCCTACACGATCAATAACAAACAAACCTTTTTAAAAAAAGATTAAGGCACTGTAAACAGAAAACATTAACACAGGAATCTATTTTATTGATCTGGTTCATGTAAGGATTGTTAGAATGCATTCAACAGACAAGCTCTGCCCAAATAAATGAATATAGAAGCAAAAGATAAGATATCAAGTTAGTGTGAATTTAAGAAAACATATTAGCCCTAAATTCATACATCCAGTGCGCACTAAGAACATTTACAATTGACTAGCTTACTAACATGGGTTTTTTTTGGGGGAGGGGGGTTGTAATTCCCTTACCTGAGAGCAACCTCCTTTCGGACAGTGTATCGAATTTTCTTCTCAAAATTCCGATCTTTACGTTTTTCTCTAAATCTAATTAACGAGGCAATTCTTTGGGGAACATTAAGCTTCGGAGGTGCAGCAGGTACACTCTGTATAAATTAACTGTCAGCTAGATTGTAAAAGTTGCAAAAGGGTAGTTCTAACTTGAGCGTTATTTAGGAAACTTGTCAAAGTTAAGGCTTTTCTTACTCTATAATTTTGATTAGGCATAGGTATAGGGGTGGTTGGAGGGACCTCGCGTCCACCTAATAATAAGAGCACGGCTTGCACCTAAAAAATGAACTTAAGATAAATAAATCCTTTACCAGAGGATAATCAAAAATCTAGAAAAATACAGAAGTATAAACCACATGTACACAAATGATGCATCCTCACCACTTTTATGGATCAACCCATCACATATTGGGGAGGGGATATGTTGGCGGTCCAAGTCCAACCACATGACCACCCCCACCTCCTCCATCCTCAACATCAAATTCAGTAATTAACTTGTGTTAATACTTCAACCAACAAGAGTACCACACCATAAATGGGCAGTATACTTGTCTAACAACTAGCAATACTTCATGTAGGGTGAATTTGGTTCCACTTATTTCAAATAACCATTGCCTATAAGATTACCACCAAAAAATAAAATGTGAGATTAACTACTGTGTTTAGTTGAGATCATGAGAATTTAATATTACCTTGCTTGGTTGAAAGTTATGTCTTTCAATGTGTTGATTAATTTGCTGAAATACCTTTATATATAAGTTTAGTGTCATTTACACTAACAAATAAGCTAGTCAAACAGTGGTGGGAAACATCTTCAGTTTCCCAGGAAATTAGTTCTTTTTTTCAGAAAAACCAACCTCTAAAGAACACGCTCAATGAAGGGTTTTATTAGCATTAAAATGCTTATCTAAACTATGATAGAGGCCCAAGCAGCATTTAAGAGCATGTTTTGATAAATTTGATAGGTTAATAGAGTAGCTCCAATTCTAAAAAAAATTAGAAGAAGTCAAATAAATCCTTAAGATACACATAAACATTCAAGTAACTAATCATTTGACCATGCACTCCACATTTCACAAATTTAACCTTTGCACACTTGGGTTAAATTAAATTCAAAACTTCATAGGAAAAAATAAGTCAGAGTCAACTCAACTCAAAACATGGGCAAACTGATTTAAAGAGAAATGATGCCGCAAAATGCAATTGTATTACGCATAGCATCCAAATTACCTTTTCAGGAGACACGGAATCAAACACATAGACTTGTCCCTGGAATGAGAGAGTAAGCTGATTATTAGTTTCAGCTCCACCGTGAACTACCATTGCACTATGATTGTCCAACAGACTCCCATTAGCATCGCCCTCCATACAGTCACTCCCTCCGCTCCCTCCATTCCCATCACCACCACCATCATCATCGTGCTCCATCACGTCCCCATTGCTCATAAACCCATGGTGATGGTGATCATCATGCTCCGGCAGGTAATGCACCTTAGGATGCTGCTGCATCACCTCCTCTTCACTCCCTTCAATCCCTCCTTCCATTTTACTCCAAGTTTACAACTTCATACACCTGCATTCAACTTCGCAACTATATCACAAATTCACAGAAAACGCCCTCCTGATAGTGTTAACATGCCTTTTTATTCCAAAGCATTAAAAATCAATGCTAGCGCGCAATTGAGTGCATAAGTACACATTCAATCACGCATATAAATCTTTGTACGATTCCATATGTGAATTGTGAAATGTAGGGTTAAAATAGCGTATATACCATTCATGAATCAAGAGAAAGCCAGTGAGATTCGATCGTCTTCGAGTGGGAATTGACGGAGGCCCCGTACGATTCGGACCGGCGATAAGTTAGATTGGTGCAGTCGCCGGCGATGATCGGGAAGATCGGCCGACGGACGGAGAGACGCCGATCTTGGCGATGGCTGGGAGTCTGCGAACGTCCTAGGCTCTCGGCGAATCCCTCTCAGTCTCAGGCTCTCGAAAAAGCAAGATGGAGTTAAGTGAGAATTCGGGATTTAGGGATAGTCGGATAAGCTTGGGCTTTTTGGCCGGTGTATTTTGAATGGAAGAAATAAAATTATTTTAAGGATGTTATTGGTCTTTTTTCTGTCTGGACCGGTTGGGATTCGGGTAAGGACCGGACCGGACCGAAACCCAAAATTAAAAATAGTTCGGACCGAAGACCGACCCGAAATCCTTTCGGTTCGTGTTTGGTCTGGACCAATCGGTCCGGTTCGGTTGTTTTTTCCGGTCCAGACCTATAAATGAACACCCCTAGGTGTGGATTAGATTGGGGGGAGGGAACGGTGAATTGGGGAATCAAGCGTCGGTAAATTGTATTAGCATCACTCCCGTGCGTTGCACGGGTCATACTTATATTACTAAATTAAGGCTTTGTTTGGTAACAACATTTTCGATTAGCGTTAGCGTTTTGGATAAAATTTTAACGGTGCAGATTATTTCTGAAAACGCTAACGCTAAAGGCTACCGTCGGATAGCTTTTTCAAAACGCTAACGCTAATCTCTGACGCTGATGCCAAACGGGGCCTAAGATCATTTTTGAAGGATATAATTTCTTATCTAATACTCCCTCCGTCCCTGAAACATCTTCTCCTTTCATTTTTTCTTTGTACCACAAACTTTTCCTTTTTGATTAAAAAACTACTTTTACCCCTTACTTTTTCATACCCTACCTATCACATCATACCTTTTTTACTAATAATCTATCTATCACATCTTACTTTTATCAATCACATCTATCAAAGGTGTTTTTGGAAATTCAACACCAAAATATCCCTCCTTTAATTTTTCAAAAGGTCAATAAGGGAACTTCTTTCGGGATGGAGGGAATAGAATATAAAGATTTATAATTTTAAAGTACAAAAGTTAATTGTTTTACAAATAACGAATGACTTCTTTATAAACTACATTACTCGTATAATTTTTATATATCAAACTTTTAAAACATTTATTTATTTAAAGACTTCTTTGTGATTTTCTACTCCGAAAGCATGAATCTTATTTAAGAACTCAAGAGAGTGTAAGTCATTCAAACAATTTGAAAGAGGCTAATTACGAAAAGTCATTGAGAATGACAGTATTTAAAGTATGAAAAAATTAAAGTATTTTTCTATTTCCATGCATCTAATTTTTTTCGGGTAAGTTATTAATTAGTGGTTGATTGTTCAACATATAAAAGGTTTATATTATTCAATACGTTTCCATGTATTAAAGACACACCTCTTAAAACGATGTCTCCATAAAACGTTTGGGCCTGGATCTCTAAACGGAAACATTATTAAATTGAAAGCTTATTTGGTTAGAATTATTACACGATAATAATAACTAAGTACGATAATATTATTACACGGTATATTATTATTATTATTATTATTATTATTCTTTCACGACAATAAATTAATAATGATTAAATACATTAATATTATTGCACGGTATATTAGTATTATTATTTTTTCTACATGGTAATACATGATTTATTCTTGCTACAAAGTAATTTATGATTTAGTTATTATTTCTATATTCAACACTTAACATATGTGTCACCATTTCTATGTATTACTTTGACATTTTTTATATTTAATTTCTTTTATTATTTTTTATTTTGATTTTTTTAATTGTGCCTTCCTTAAATGCATAAAATTATATATTTAAATTTCTTCATAAAATATTTGACACCGAATCTCTAAATGGAAACATAATTAAATTGAAAGCTTATTTTCTTAACATAATCACACCGTAATAAATTAATAATGATTAAATATGGTAATATTAAGTTTGGCCATGTTCTCTAAATGGAAACTTTTTTAAATTGAAAGCTTCTTATATTAGAATTATTAGACGATAATAATGACTAAGTACGGTAATTTTATTACACAGTATATTATTATCATTCTTCTTATATGGTAATAAATTAATAATGATTAAATACGGAAATATTATTACACGATATATTAATATTATTATTCTTGTTACACGATAATACATGATCTATTCTTATTACACGGTGATTTATGATTTAATTATCATTTATTTATTCAACACTTACTATACGTACCACCATTTCTATGTATTACTTTGACATTTCTTTTAGATTTGATTTCTTTCCGTAAAGGAAACAAATGGTTTGTATGATTAAAATGGTTTGTATGATTAAAATGGTTTGTTTCTAAATTGGAAAAGGAAACAAATGGTTTGTATGATAAAAATGATTTGTTTCTTAATTGGAAATTATATAAATTACAAAACTGTAAATTTAATGCATTGATTAAAAAATTTACACCATAACGTGATTATTACCTTTTATGGACAAATATTATTTTTAGTTGAATGGTAATCATTTTTTTAATTATATCAATTCCAATTTTATAAAAAAGTTTGGCATTAGAAAAGAAGTTTATATAAATAATATTTTTTATATTTTGTTTCCTTTTTAGAAATATATTAGGCATGCAAAATTTCCTTTAATTTATCATTCTAAATAAGAATAGAGTAATTAAGTAATTATGCATGCGAAATTATTCTAAAAAGGAAACAACGTAGATCTTATTTTCGAAATTAGTCCCTTCCTTTTTTATCAGAATTAAGTAATTATGCATGCGAAATTTCCTTTAATATATCATTCTATTATTCTTAAAAGTATTTCCTTTTAAGAATAAAGTGATTAAGTAAATAATTATCTATTTAATTAGGCATATATAATTACTTTTTGAAAAAATAATCAGGCGTAAATTATTCCAAGTAATTATAATAATAATAGTAATAATTAGACGTAAATATTTACCTATTTAAAAAGGAAACAAAATATAAAAAATCTCCTGCACCGTCCCTTCCTTTTTTATCACAATCAAGTAATTAGGCAAAATTAGTTAGGAAACAAATTACTCCCTTCCTTTTTGATCAAAATAGAGTGATTATGCATGCAAAATTTCCTTTAATTTATCATTCTAAATAGGTAATATTACACAACCAATCATAGCGGTAGATCTTGTTTGTTCCTTGATATCGACGGTGCAGGAGATGAGTGCATTGGGCGGAAAAATAATTTCCCTGCTTTTAAGAATAGAGTGATGGCTTGGGGTCTGTTGGGGATGATTAGAGGAAATAAGGCACGTCTGTAATTAATTTTTCTTTTTAAAATTTCCTTTACTAATATGCCCCCACAGATCTTGGAAAATTATAAAAACTTTCCAAATCCCGGTCCCAATTTTTTACATAATTGCACAAGTAACAAAAATAGCAACACCTTTGTTTTCATTTTCTAACTCAACCAAAAGCTCAAGCTTGTGGTTGTGGCCCAGGAATGATTGTTATATATACTCTAACACGCCCCCTCACGTGCAGGCGTGACCTCTTTGAGCCTTGCACGTGAAACCTTTAATTTTTTAAAACTGGGTGGCGCTGAGTTTCGAACCCGTGACCTCTTAGTCAACGAGGCTCCGATACCATGTCAAGGAACCAACTCAACCAAAAGCTCAAGCTTGTGGTTGTGGCCCAGGAATGATTGTTATATACTCTAACAGAAATTTATTTTGAAATGAAAAGAATAAGTAATCCAATTCAGAATTTGTCCGTATTTTCTCAATCTAATTAATCACAATGAACCAATGTTTCTGTCTCCACTGGGATTCAAATTTGGTGAATTTTTTCATGAACTTGAGGATTGGTTTTCTACCCCTCAAGCTAAAGGACAAACTCAATTTTTCAACTTACTAAATACCCCGAGTGTTATTTAATTTTATTTTTTTATTGAATTAGATCAGAAACCGTTCTAAATTACATTTAAAAAAAAAAGAGAAAAACGCTCTAAATTATGGCTCTGTTTAGTATCAGCATTAGAAATTAGCGTTCGAGTTTTAAAAAGACTACCTGACAGTAGCCTTTTACATTAGTATTTCAGAATTAATCTAAATAATTAAAATTTATCTAAAATGGTAAAGCTAGTCCAAATTGTAACCAAAGAAGGCCTACGTGTGAATTCAAATGCTAACGCTAGATGGAAGAGAGATTATTCTCTCTGTGCCCACAGTTTTATCCGGAGATGCCGTCGTCTTCCCCATTGAAACCGATCAGAACTGTTTGTTTCTGCTACAGCGCGAAGCTAAAGCTGAGCACTAGTGCCGCCTGCACCACCGCCACCCACTCGCCGCGGTCTAGAACCAGGGCAGTTTCTCGCGGAGATCTGTCCGGCGGAGAAGAGCTCGGAGAAGGGAGGGTTTCTCACGTCCAGACGAATGGGGTTGGACTAGTCTCCGAAGGAGCTCTTTCGCTTTCGCAGGTAGAATCGTTTGTTTTATACATCCATTTAGCTTGAATTGGTTTTCGTTTTGTTGATGCCGCAGTGTTCATATCTGGTAGGGTTTTACTCATCAGCCGCTGGGTGGGTGTTATTGTTTATGAATTGAGAAGTACATTATTTCATCTTCAGTTTCGTTCATTTTGTTTGAATTTTCTGTCTCAGCTCTCTTTTATGCATGCTTCTTGCTGACGCTAATTGGTGAAAGCAAAGATCACATCTTTGAATGTGTTTATTTCACCAACTCAACTTTGGAAGTGTTTTTATGTGTGTTCGTGCTTTGGCTAACAAAATGGGCTTCGCAGGTTGCGTGATTGGTATAATTTGAACACAGCCGTGACTCGTGAGTCTGATCAAAGTGATCAGTCAGTCAGGTTCTGATTGAATAATAAGCTTCCTTCTCCATTGGTTCAATCCCCGAGTATCTTGAGAAGTCCATTGCTTGGCATCTTAACAGAATGCTGCCTATCTTTTCCCAGCACCGACTCTGTTTTACTAATTAAACTATCTTCCAAAGTCAGGGTTTGCCTTATTTTATTCAATCACATTTTGATTTTATCATGAAGTTCGTTGAGCAAGTAGTCTTTCTTGAATGGATTCATTGTGTGTCTTGCCCCATCTCCTATTTGTTACTTTAGGATAATAGCAATGACACACTTGTTATGTGGCCTTGTTGTCTTTTGTCATCACAAGAGCACA